TATTTTTTAAATAAAAATACTTTTTTATAAAATGTAAGTATTTTTTAGTATATTTGTTCCATTTTATAGATATAAATATTTTTTTTTGTTCAAAAAAAGTTTAGGGATTTAATAGTTTAAAATATGAAAGTTCATTGGCTTTTTTTGGACTTTTTTCCTTATTTTACCACATTAACCAATTTTGTATGTCATAAGAATGTATCTAACAGGTTTTAGAAAGTCCAAAAAGTTATTTAATAGGTTTTGCAATGTTCAAAGACTTATTTGTTCCAAAAAATTGTCTAATGACTTAATCATTCCAAACACTAAAGTCCATTGAGTTTTTTTAGACTTTTCCCTTACATAAAAGTCTAATGAAGCTATTTTTGTTATTTATATAAATTTGGATAGAATGGATTTTAATTCCATTGCTTCATGAAGGAATGGTTAAATCCTTCAAATGAGGGAATCCTTGGAATACAAGTCCATTCCGCAGGTAACCAAACTTTGTAATGAAATTTAGTCAACGAAATTCACCATTCTAATTATAACAGATTTCAGCGGATTCCGACGAATCAAACGCCCCCTTAGGGGGCGTTTGGTTCGTAGAATGGAATTCGATGGAATTGGAATTCATCAAAGGAATTTGACTTTGAGGGAATGAAATGAAATTTGATGGAATTTGACCTTGTCCTGTGATTGCGTTTGGTTACATGGAATTGGAATGAAATTCTTAACGAAATTGGAATTTTTTTTGTTTGGTTCACGGAATTCAACTTTGGAATCCACAAATGGCCTTTTATGATTTTTGTCATTTAAAAAAAATAAAATTACTATTAAACCAAATTACATTATTAACATCAGATAAAATTTGAAATTGTTCACTTATATTAATAATATCTGAAATTGTTCACTAAATTTTGTTTAAAGAAGTGATCGGTGCCCTAATTCTATTCAATTTGGGATTGAACCAGAGAGCGATTGAAGATCGAATCAGAGATCGATTGAATATCGAACCAGATTGGCGATCGAATTTTGTTTACGAGAGAGAGAGAGAGAGAGAGAGAGAGAGAACATACCTGGAGATCGAACCAAAAATGCAGTAGATGAGATGGTAGAGGCGCGTTTAATGAATTTGGATTAGAGGATGAATCTGTAGGAAAGGAATTGAAATCTTAGCATGTTGCCATGGAATGGTGAAATCTGTGCGTGAAGGAATTGACTGGAATTGAAAGGATTCCATGATCTTATTCCATTGAACCAAACACTCCATTTGGAATTTGGTCAAAGAATTGGATATTCCAATTCCTATGATCCAAACAGCCCCTTAGGGTTTAAGGGAGACTGGGAAGTGAAAAGACAAGAACGCAGACCCAGTGAACTTTCTGGGAGTTGAATCAAGGGTTTCCCGTGGTTTATTATTTACATTTTTAGTCCCTCAAATATGTAACTTCAATCAAGTTGTTTCTGAATAGTTTGGTGAATGTACTTTTAAATGATTTATCAAGAGCATCTTCAGTGGAAGTTCTTATAACATATTTTTCGCACTTTTTGTTGCGAGTTCATCTACAACTCATCAAATTAAGAACTCTATTTAAAATTCGTAATGATAGTTCTTATAAGGACATTTTTTGTGGGTCCCATTGATTCTTCCAAAATTAATAATTATCATATTAATATTATTAATAATTAGAATAAACTAAGATTTTCGTTCTTGTAGTTTTGGTGTTTATAACGTTTTATGTCCCTGTGGTTTAAAAACTGCTTTTTTCGTTCTTGTGATTTGCATTTTTCTTCTTCTTTTCATCTCTCAGACTAACGTTGATAGAAAAATTCAGTTAAATCATGGTATATACCATTTTTTATTTTTTTTATTAATAGTTTAAACTTAACTATATACATATACTTGGGACCATGTGAGACGAGGTTGTTTTCGTAAGATACGTGAGACACTTTTTATTACACTTGCAACGTCACAACAACATACTTTGAAGGTAACTTTCACAATGTTTTTGCTGTGAAAATTCGACCTTTTTTTTTACCTTCACAATATTTTGTTGTGAAGTTTTAAGCGTAAAAATCGTGTCTCACATGTCTCACGAAAACAGTCTTGTCTCACGTGAACCCAATCATATATACATAGTTGTGTACCCGCGCAATGCGGCAGGGTATAAGTTTTATATAAATGTAAGCGAGAATAGTGGTTGAGGATTACAACAGATAAACACATGATTGTTATAGCAAGACCAAGCCAAATGGAGAATGTTTTTCCTTTCAGTTTGAATATGAATATGTTATTTTGAACGAATATGGACATATTTTTGGCAAAAAACCGTTTATAGCCGACATGTTAACCAATAAAACTCGTCTCAAGTCAATTAGTTATCCACACTTTAAAACACCGGCCACCAATATGAGATCGTCTATTAATGTTTATTGGTTGGAAACAACCAATGGGATAAGCATACACATATAATTTCTTTGGAAAGTTGT